CCATCTGATACCACATCAGCTTGGATGTTATTATCCATATTGCTATCAGCACTTTGGTCAAAACTATTCAATGCATCTCTAAGAAATTTCATACTTTCCCACATTTTCCTGTCTCCTTCTGAGCTCTCCAAACTGATCCAACCTCTGCCTGTTACCTAGTTCCAAAGTTGCTTCCACATTTTTGGGCATCTTTTCAGCAGTGCCCCACTCTACTCGTACCAATTTACTGTATTCATGCATTTTCACACTGCTGATAAAGACATACCTGAGACTGGGAAGAGAAAGAGGTTTAGTTGGACTTATGGTTCCACATGGCTGGAGAGATCTCAGGATGGTGGAAGTTGAAAGGCACTTCTTACATGGTGGTGGCAAGAGAAAATAAGAGGAATTCAAAAGCAGAAACCCCTGATAAAACCATCAGATCTCGTGAGACTTATTCACTACCATGAGAACAGTGTGGGGAAAACTGCCCCCATTATTTAAATTATTTCTCACTTGATCCCTCCCACAACATGTGGAAATTATGGGATTACAATTCAAGATGAGATTTGGGTGGGGACACAGAGCCAAACCGTATCAACTATTGCTTCCCATGTCAAGATATTTCTTCTTACATCAGACTGCTTCACTCATTTATATTACCTGCCTGCCAGGCACCTGTGAAAACATGAATCTGTGACTCCTGCTATATATATATATATATAGCAGAAGTCACAGATTCGTATGTATATATATATATATTCATATATATATATATTCTCCAACCTATTATAGCAGTATACCAGAAATCTGATCACTAGTATTAAACCCACACTTCATAGTCAATTCCCATTTGCCCAACCAAAATGCAATTCCTTTTGATGTGTTGAAAGCTTTGTGTAAGTACACACCTGAGCCCCAATTTAAAGCTTACATTGTCTGTAGTTTTTTTTTTTTTTTTTTTTGAGATGGAGTCTCACTCTCTTGCCAGGCCGGAGTGCAGTGGTGGGATCTTGGTTCACTGCAACCTCCATCTCCTGGGTTCAAGTGATTCTTCTACTTCATCCTCCCGAGTAGCTGGGACTACAGGCACATACCACCATGCCCAGCTAATTTTAATATTTTTAGTAGAGACAGGGTTTCACCATGTTGGCCAGCATGGTCCCGATCTCTCGACCTTGTGATCCGCCAGCCTCGGTCTCCCAAAGTGCTGGTATTACAGATGTGAGCCACTGTGCCTGGCCTTGTCATTTAAAATTTTTTTTTATGTTTAGAGGTACATGTGCAGATTTGTTATATAGGTAAATTCAGTGTTACAGTGTCTTAGGAGTACACATTATTTCATGACCAGGTAATAAGCATGGTACCCTGATATGATTTGACTGTGTCCCCTGTCCAAATCTCATCTTGAATTATAATCCCCATAATTCCCATAAGGGCAGGACCAAGTAGAGGTAATTACATTATGAGGGTGGTTTCCTCCATGTTGTTCTCATGATAGAGAGTGAGTCTCATGAGATCTGATGGTTTTATAAGCATTTAGTATTTCTCCTGCTTGCACTCACTTGGTCCTGCTGCCTTGTAAAGAACGTCCCTGCTTCTGCTTTGCCTTCTGCCATAGTTGTAAGTTTCCCAAGGCCTTCCCAGCAATGGGGAATTGTGATCCAATTAAACCTCTTTTCTTTATGAGTTACCAGTCTCTGGTATTTCTTCATAGCAGTGTGAGAAGGAACTAATACAGTAAATTGGTTCTGAGGTAGTAGGGTGCTGCTATAAGGATACCCAAAAATTTGGAAGCAACTTTGCCACCAGGTAACAGGCAGAGGTTGGAACAGTTTGAAGGGCTCAGAAGAAGACAGGAAAATATGGGAAAGTTTGGAACTTCCTAGAGACTTGGAGGGCTCAGAAGACAGGAAGATGTGGGAAAGTCTGGAACTTCCCAGAGACTTGTTAAATGGCTTTGACCAAAATGCTGATAGTGACATGAACAACTAAGTCCAGCTAAGTTAGTCTCAGATGGAGATGGGAAACTTGTGGGGAACTGGAGTAAAGATCACTCTTGCTATACTTTAGCAAAGAGACCAGTGGCATTTTGCCCCTGCCCTAGAGATCTGTGGAACTTTAAATTTGAGAAATATGATTTAGGGTATTTCAGTGGAAGAAATTTCTAAGTGGTAAAGCATTCAAGAGGAAGGATAACATAAAAGCTTGAAAAATTTTTATTCAAAACCCAAAACCAAAAGATACAGATTTAGGGAGTTCTCTCCAAATCATTCTATGAAGCCAGTATCACCCTAATACCAAAACCAAGATACATAACAAAAAAAAAGAAAACTATAATCCAATATCTCTGATGAACATAGAAGTCACATTACCTGCCTTCAAACTGTACTACAAGGCTATCGTCACCAAAACAAAATGATATTGGTATAAAAATAGACATATAGACCAATGGAACAGAACAGAGAATCCAGAAATAAGGCCAAATACAGCCAACTGATCTTTGACAAAACAAGCAAAGGCATAAAGTGGGCAAAGGACTACCCTATTCAATAAATGATGCCGGGATAATTGGCAAGCCACATGTAGGAGAATGAAACTGCATCGTTATCTCTCACCTTATACAAAAACCAACTCAAGATGTATTAAACACTCAAATATAAGACCTGAAACCATCTAAATTCTAGGAGATAACATTGAAAAAACTTTTCTAGACATTGGTTTAGGCAAAGAGTTCGTGACCAAGAACCTAAAAGCAAATGAAACAAAACCAAAGATAAATAGATAAGGCTTTATTAAATTAAAAAGCTTCTTCACAGCAAAAGAAATAATCAACAGAGTAAACAGGCAACCAACAGAACAGGAAAGAATATTCACAAACTATTTATCTGACAAAGGACTAATATCCAGGATCTACAAGGAACTCAAATGAGCAAGAAAAAGTAATGATCATATCAAAAAGTGGGCTAAGGACATGAGTAGATAATTCTCAAGAGGATATACAAATGGCCAACAAAGATATGAAAAAATGTTTAACATTACTAATAATCTGGAAAATGCAAATCAAACCACAATGTGATACCACCTTACTCCTGTAAAATGGCCACAGTAAAACAACAACAAAATAATAAATGTTGGCATGGATGTGGTGAAAAGGGAACACTTTTACACTGCTGGTGGGAATGTAAACTAGTACAAACACTATGGAAAACAGTATGGACATTCCTTAAAGAACTAAAAGTAGATCTACAATTTGATCCAGCAATCCCACTACTGGGTATCTACCCAGAGAAAAAGAGTCACTATATGAAAAAGCCACTTGTACCTGCATGTTTATAGCAACATAATTTGCAATTGCAAAAATTTGGAGTCAACTCAAATTTCTGTCAATAAATGAGTGGATAAAGAAATTGTGGCACATACATATATATATATATACACACACCATGGAATACTACTCAGCCATAAAGAGGAAAGAAATAATAGCAACCTGGATGGAGTTGGAGACCATTATTCTTTTTTTTTCTCCCCGCCCCCTCGGAGACCATTATTCTAAGTGAAGTAACTCAATAATTGAAAACCAGACATTGTATGGTCTCACTTATAGGTGGGAGCTATGCTGTGAGGATGCAAAGGCATAAGAATAATGCAGTAGATGTTGGAGACTCAGGGGAAAGGGTAGAAGAGGTGTATTAGTCTGTATTCACACTGCTATAAAGAACTGCCTGAGACTGGGTAATTCATAAAGAAAAGAGGTTTAATTGACTCTCAGTTCCATATGACTGGGGAGGCCTCAGGAAACTTACAATCTTGGCAGAAGGGGAAGCAGGCACATCTTATGTGGCAGCAGGCTAGAGAGAGAGTGTTGTGAGAGACAGCAGGGAAAACTGCCTTATAAACCATCAGATTTTGTGAGAACTTACTATCATGAGAACAAGAATAGCATTGGGAAAACTGCCCTTATGATCCAATCAACTCCCTCTCTCAACACATGGGGATTACAGGTCCTTCACTCAATATCTGGGGACTACAATCTGAGATGCGATTTGGATGGGGACACAGAGCCAAGACATATCAAGGGGGGTGAGGGATAAAAGACTACACATTGGGTACAGTGTACACTGCTTGGGTGATGGGTACACCAAACCCTCAGAAATCACCACTAAAGAATTTATCTATAAAACTAAACACCACCTGTTCTCCTGTTCTCCAGAAACTGTAGAAATAATATTTTTTAAAAATTAAATGGGCCGGGCCTGGTGGTTCAGGCCTGTAATCCCAACACTTTGAGAGGCTGAGGTGAGTGTATCACCTGATGTCAGGAGTTTGAGACTAGCCGGGCCAACATGGTGAAACCCTGTCTCTACCAAAAACACAAAAATTAGCTGAGTGTGGTGGTGGGCGCCTGTAATCCCAGCTAGTTGGGAGGCTGAGGCAGGAGAATTGGTTGAATTCAGGAGACAAATGTTGCAGTGAGTCGAGATAGTGCCATTGCACTCAAGCCTGGGCAACAAGTGTGAAACTCTGTCTCAAAAAAAGTTAAACTTGTGATTGTATTATGAAATTCCTGTAGTGAGTTTTTCAGCTCTAACAGATCAGTTCTACTCATTCTTACAATGGCTATTTCATCATTCAGCTCTTGTATCATTTTATTGGATTCCTTAAAATGCTTGTACTGGGTATAGACTTTCTCCTAACTCTCGATGATCTTTGTTCCTATGAGATTCTAAGTTCTGTATCTTTCATTTCAGCCATTTCAACCTGGTTAAGAACTATTGTTGGGAACCAGTGTGATCATTTGGAGGTAAGAAGACACTCTGAATTTTTGAGTTGCCAGAGGTCTTGTGCCGGATCATTGTCATCTGTGTGGTGTGATGTTCCTTTAATCTTTGAAGGTGCTCTCCTATGGATGATTTTAGTTTTATTTTCTTTGCTGCCTTTGAGGGTTTGATTGTGATATAAGGTGGATTCAGTCAACTGGCTTTAGTTTCTGAAGATTTCAGGGGCCCAAGGCTCAGCTCAGCAGTCCTAGCCTGCATGCTGTAACCCTGGGCAACTGCAACTGGGCCCCTGGCTTTGTTCTCTGACCCCTCAAGATTAGGAACCTGCTGTGCTGGAAGGACCTAGGTGTTTCTGGTCCACTGGCAACAACACTCTGATGCGGTATTGGCAGAGAGTTCCATTCTTGCTTGTGCATATCAGCAGCAGTGGTGCTGCGGTAGGGCACATTTGTGTTGCCTCTCTTTTTAAGAAATAAAAAAATTAGGGGAAATTTGTTTAAAAATACAACCTTTCTATAATCTTGAAACTTAAAACTAAAATTAACAAAAAAAAAAAACTTGACAATTCCCAAAGTTTTAAAATTAAAAAACTGCTTTAGGAATTTTACCATACATTTTATTCCAAATTTAAAGGAATTTAAGATGTTTCATAAAGCTAAAGCATTAATGTCTCCCATATGCAATATTTTAACTTGGACTTTTTAAAGAGAAACAATTAAAAAGAAGCCATTAAGACATCATATGAACTGAGCTCCTGCAAATGTGGATTGTTGAAGAAGATACTTATTTCAAACTCATAAGGGATATAAATAAATGTAAAACTTTAGTACCCAGGACATGCAAACCAGAATGATGATGAGCGTAAGTTCCAGATTAAACATCATGTTTCCAGTTCTTTCAGGAACAATATATTTATCTAGTTTCTAAATTGAGACAAAGGAAGTAAAATGGAGAGGTGAATTACCAAAAAGGCATGTTATCAATGTTCTCCTTTAGATTGTTTTTGAAAGCTTTTAAACACTGGGCGTGTAAGTTAAAGCTGATTTTAGCACTTCCTCAGCGGATCACCTTAGACTTTGCTAAAGTTGGCACCATTATAGGGGTCATATTTTCACACGGATGCACTCTTCCTGAACAGAGTGTGTTTGACAGAAAAAAGTTTTTCTTTCATGCCAGGCATTTGTGTGTTTGCTTTTTATAACAAACAGTAAGACAAAGCTCACCATGTTGGACTCTCTCCCAGTATTTCCAATTTAGCTATGAAAACAAGATTTTTATTTCATGGTTTGGAGAAGTGCACTTTAAAACTTAACCCTTTAAGATAACAGCATTTTTTTCCTCAAAAGTCATTTTATCTTCTTTGATTTGAATTTTATTTCCATTACTTTGGATATCACAAAGTGTATCCTCTCATCACTTGAGTTGGTAAGGGAGATATTTTCATAAGTAGTCTTTTTTTTTTAACTTTATATGATTTAGCATTTTGCTATAGCTCTTTTTTAAATATATATTTTCATTTTAGATGCTAAATCTGGTCTCCATAATCAGATTTGGTAGCAGCCTTTATTTTGTTGTTAGCTTTTTGGCAGAGTCTAGAAGGTCCCAAGCTGCTAACCTTTTGTCTGAAAGTCTTTCAAGTTCAGCAGTTTTCATGTTCTATCCTGTCATAATGAATAGCAACTGTCTCCCCAACAAAGGCCAAGTTATTATGGTAGGTTAGAATCTTAATAGTATTAGGAAAAAATCTTGCAAGGTTATACCTAAAATATGTATTCAAATGAACCATAAGCCTAATTCCAGTAGTTGCAAGTATAGCATGTCGTGCAGCCTGTATTCCCAGTCTTCCATAGAAGTCAAAGCATCCAGTGAAAATTCTGACACTGAAAGAATGTCTATTGAATTCTTCATTCTGAAGTAGGTTATAAGAAGGAGGTTTGCTGGGCATGGTGGCTCATGCCTGTAATCACAGCACTTTGGGAGGCCGAGGTAGGTGGACGGCTTGAGACCAGAAGTTCAAGACTGGTCTAGGCAACATGGCAAAACCCTGTCTCTACAAAACATACAAAATTAGCCAGGCACAGTAATATATGCCTGTAGTCCCAGCTACTTAGGAAGCTGAGGTGGGAGGATCAATTGAGCCCAGCAGTTTGAGGCTGTAGTGAGCCATGATCTCACCAATGCACTCCAACCTGGGTGACAGAATGAGACCCTATCTCAAAAATAAATAAATAAATAAATAAATAAATAAAGGAGGTTGGCAAAAAGACCTATTTTTAAATGGATATATTTCTTTTAGAAATAGAAAGAAATAAGACTTTTTTTACCTGTAAAAAAAATGGATAAATTAAAATTGATATTTTCACTGAATATTATGATTATCATCATAATCACCATAATCTTTGTAAGCCTAAGTGACTTATTTTACATGTCATCTTAATTCTTTATTGTCATGCTTTCCTTTTTAAAATTTGCTTTCTTTAGCCTCTGAACTATTCAAATATGCTATTATCATTCTTCTCAGGTCACAGGCCTACATTATTTACTGTTCAAATATAACATAACACTAGAACAGTTATTTCTGCTGAAATATATTACACTATTTTTGATGGGAGAAAAAATGATCAACTTTCTTATAAACAGTGAACTGATATACAGAGGTATTAGTTAATTCCATAGCACATAGGAGTGATACTTGTACCCAAAATGGAATATTAGGAAATGTTAATGCATGTACTGTTCTGTGTAACTTCAGACTTCATCACTAAACTTATGAATGAGTATCTAGAATAGTCGTTCAAGGTAGATACAAATCAGTTGCTGAAAAGAGGAGAATAAATGAAATATTAGAGATTTGCAAAAGCACCAAAATAACTAACATTACTGAAATATGAGTAGAAATGTATTTTTAGTCTCTTATTCTCAATGCTCGATATACTAATTATAAAGCAAGGATGACACTTCTTAGTGTTCACAAATGTGTATGGGTGTGGGTGTGTGTGGGAGTGTGTGTAGCTTTCAATCTTTAGTTTGAATACAAAACTGAGCTTTGCTGCACATGTATAAAAACTCTATATGTTTTAGGTCATTCAGCCTGAGGAAAGAAGTCATGTTAACAGAAGAGTAACAAAACTAAAATTTTCTGACACTTCTTGTATCACTATTACAGGACCTCTCTATTTAATTCAAAGAGTTCAGAAAGAAAGGAAAGAGGTGGTGTATCTTAAATAGAAATGCCTTTTATTTCTATTTTTGTCTAGCTAACTCCTATTCATGTATCAATGCTTAGCTCAAGAGACTGTTTCTTTGGAAAGCCTTTCCTAACCCACATTCTATTTAGATGGCCCATCTCTACACATCCACAAAACCCTACGCCTGTTTCCTGCTTTTCACAGTACTGATTATGGAATTATAAGCATTGGGTTACTTCTTAGCTGTCCTATGATCACTCTATCATTTTGCTCTTCTACTTCCTCTTCTCTTCCTTTTTTCTCACTCCCAATCTCACACCCATACACAAGACCATGAGTTCCGCATGGGCAAAGACTATGCTTTATTGGACTTTGAATTTCTAGCACTTAGTGCAATGTCTGGTACATAGTAATGACCAACCAATATTTATTGAACTGACATGTATAAATAAATGAATACTTAGGAACTAGTCATATCAGCTATCACCATTTTTGTCTTTTCCTCCAGATTGCTAGGATAATACATTCTGTTGCAGATAATGATTACTGTGTTAGTTTGATAGGGCTGAAAAACAAAGTACAACAGACTGGTTGTTTTTAAAAAATAAAGAGAAATTTATTTTCTCACTGCTCTGGAAGCTAGAAGTTTGAGATGAAGGTGTTGGCAGTGTTGGTTCCTTCTGAAGGCTGTGTAGAAAGAATCTGTTTCAGACCTCTCTCCTTGTTTTGTAGAAGTCTGTCTTCTCCCTGCGTCATCATCTTCCCTTTGGACATGTCTATGTTCAAATTTCCTCTTTTTGCAGTGACACTAGTTGTATTGGATTGAAGCCCATCCTAATGAACCTATTTTAACTTGATTACCTCTTTAAGGATTCTATCTTCAAATACAGTCACATTCTGAGATACAAGGAGTTAGAAGTTCGACATATACATTTTGGGGAAGACATCATCCAGCTCGCAACTCCTAAGGGTGCTGCTCCTAGTAATTACCATATGAGTAAGCAACCATTTTTGTGCACATATTTTATGCTCAAAAATAGTGTTAGAAACAGTGTTTGTTTTGTGTTAGAAACAGTATTAAATGTTTTGCATGCATATCTCCAATACATAAGTTTGCCCTGATGTCGGCTGCAGGCTCCTGCACTCAAAAATCCATTGAAGCACCACTGTTTTGCCATCCATCCTATGGCTCAGTAGTTAACTGCAATGGAGAACACTTCTCTTTATTTTCACTGGTGTGATACCTTACGAAGTGGAGTGCTGAGTAGTGTTACTTTTTTTTTTTCTTTGACATGGGGTCAGCATCCCGAGTAACTGGGATTACAGGCGCCCACCACCACCTGGCTAGTTTTTTAGTATTTTTAGTAGAGATGGGGTTTGACCATGTTGGCCAGGCTGGCCTTGTACTCCTGGCTTCAAGTGATCCACCTGCCTCAGCCTCCCAAAGTGCTGGGATTACAGGCATGAGCCTCTGCATGTGGCCTGAGTAAGTAGCGTTACTCTTACAGATTTACAAAAGAACTTTATTGAAGCAGTTCTTTTATTTTTCATTCTTGTATTGCATTATCCATATATGAAACCTCAACCATGGGTCCACAGGGGTTGAGTCAGGGGACCACGTTAAATGGCAATTTACAGGCTTTATTCAGAATTATGCCACTTAATCCATGCCCTAGTACTGCCCTTGTGCATTTGATTCCCTCTTCTTTTGGTTTACATTTTCCCCTCCCATCAGGACTTCCGTCATCCCTCCAGACGTGCCTGATTTCTAGAAACTGTACAAGTTCTTAACTGAGATCTCAGTTAAATTTAGCTTCAAACTGAGTTTTCACTGTGCTTTTCTAAGAAATTTTACTCATGTAATTGTTTCTTGTTGTTTTTCTTCTTTCTTTTCTAATTTAAAAATATTTAATTGACAAATAAGGATTATATATATATATATATATATATTCAAAATGTATGACGGGGTGTCCAATCTTTTGGCCTCTGTGGGCCACATTGGAAGAAAAAGAGCAGTCTTGGGCCACAAATAAATACACTAATGATAGCTGATGAGCTAAAAAAAATTGCAAAAAATTTGCATAATGTTTTAAGAAAGTTTACGAATTTGTGTTGGGCTGCATTCAACATTATCCTGGGCTGCATGTGGCCCATGGGCCATGGGTTGGACAAGCTCGGTGTACAATGTGATTATTTGATATATGTAAATATTGCATAATGATTATTACAATACAATTAAGTAACATATCTGTTGATACCCATGCTATACATTAGATACCAAGAACTTGTTCATCTTGTAACTGAAAGTTTGTACCCTTTGATCAACATCTTCCTATTTCCCTCACTCCTCAGCCCCTAGAAGCCACCATTCAACTCTCCATTAGTTCAACATGTTTACATTCCATATCTAAGGGAGATCATACTATATTAGTCATTCTGTGTCACGATTTCTTTATTCATCCATTGATGGACACTTAGGTAGCTTTCATGTCTTGGCTATTGCAAATAATGCTACAATGGACATCGGAATGCAGATATCTCTTTGAGCTACTAATTTCATTCCCTTGCAGTGGCACCAGTCATATTGGATTGGGGCCCATTTTAACTTGATTACCTCTAAAGATTCTATCTTCAGATGCAGTCACATTCTGAGATGCAAGGAGTTAGAAGTTCGACTTATACATTTTGGGGAAGACATCATCTAGCTGGTAACTCCTAAGGGTGCTGCTCCTAGTAATTGCCATATGAGTAAGCAACCATTTTTGAGCCCATACTTTATGCTCAAAAATAGTGTTAGAAACAGCAAAAATGCCCAGAAGTGGCATTTTTATAATGCCTGTAGCAATTTACATTCTTGCCAGCATTATAGAAGTGTTCTTTTTTCTCCTGACCCTCTCCAACACTTATCTCTTGTCTTTTTGATAATAGCCATCCTAATAGATGTGAGATATCTCATTGTGCTTTTGATTTATATTTTCCTGATGATTAGTGTTGCTGAGAACCTTTTCCTATATCTCTTGATCATTTGTATGTCGTCTTCTTCTTTTTTTTAGTCTATTCAGGTTTTTATCCATTTTAAAAAAGCTGAGACAGGTTCTCCCTCTGTTGTACAGACTGGAGTGCAGTGGTATGATCACAGGTCACTGCAGCCTCAAACTCCTGGGCTCAGGTGATCCTCCTGTCTCAGCCTCCTGAGTAGCTGGAACTACACGTACACCACCACCACATTTGGCTTTTATCCGTTTTTAAATTGGATTATTATTATTATTTTTGCTATTGAGTCATATGAGTTCTTGGTATTTTAGATATTAACCCCTTGTGGGACATATGGTTTGCAAACATTTTCTTTTGTTCTGAAGGTTGCCTTTTTATTTTCTTGATTGTTTTCTTTTCCGTGGCAATTTTTTCTCATCTTAAATATGTGTGAGAGGGATGAAGGGGTATTCCTTAAATCTGCAAGCATTAATTTTTTATTATAACGATTGAAGAAGTTTTATACGGAGCTGAATATTGGGGAATTTTGGTGTTTGGAGGAAAAAGAGACAGCAGTGAAAAGAGAAAGAACCTCAAGAGTTCATATAGCCCATTTTTTAAAGCAAGATTATGCAAGTGACTATATTATAGGCATCTAAGAGCATAATTAATGCCTACTTTTCCTCCTTATGTGAAAAAAAAGAGTTAGCAAAGGAATAGTGGAAAAACAAAGGAGTCAACACATGAGGTCAAATAATCCAAACTCTTTTCTCTTTTGGAAGTGTTAGAAAGATCTACAGCTGTATCTTCTCCAAGGCCAAGTCAGGTCTCATGGTGGTATATGTTCTACCTCAGCTTCTCCTTATACTGACAACAGTATTCTGTATTCAGGGCCATGGAAAAGTTGACTTACTCAATCTCACCACGTGAGTAGAGACAGACTTGCCCAGCAATTTTATTCATCTAGCTAAATTCTTCCTAAAGGCTATTTTGGAAATTCAGTTTCTCTAGAGTTTTGAGAAATAAGTTCCAAATATATCCTGAAGGCTTTGTTTATTTTAACAACTGGAGGTCAATGAGAAATAGGGAAAGTTTAAAATGATTTCCCATTCTAGGAATGTTCCTCTACAAGATTCAATTAGCACCTTGTATTTATCATAATTTTAAATTTAATTGACAATGTATTTTATTGTCCTTTAGTATTGTGGTTAAGTTGTGGCTCATTAATACTATCAAAACTTTTCAAACCAGATTACCAAAATCTTGGTGGCTTTTATTGCGAGAAATTGAGACTTTATTTCCTCCAATCTTCAGTACTTTCGCCCTCTATTTAATTTATCAAAGCCTGCTATAATTACTGTTCTTGTAATGTCAGGAGGAATTTCACATCTCTTTGCAGAATTTAACTTATTGTGTTGGTGTTTCACATGCCAGACCTATGTATGTGTATATATATATATATATATATATACACACATATATATATGTTCCCTCGGGATTGCCTATTCACATTAGTAGGAGCTGAGTAAACATACCAAGCAAACAACAGCCCTCTCTTCACTTGATAACTAGGTAGCAAGAGTACAATTATCAGTGCTAGTAATATTACATCTCCAGAAGAATTTAAAGGATCACTTTTAATTATAGGTAGAGCTCTAAGCTTGATAGGATATTACAGAGCTGAACTATTTATAAAATTACAAATCCCTTCACAAGCATTTTGGAAATTGATGTTTACATATTAGCACTATTATAAAAGTGCATTTTTTTAAACGTATGCAATTAAATTTTTTGCCAACAATGTTAAAAATTTGAAATCATTGTGGATAGCAAAAAAGCCCATAGTATGTGTTCCTTAATAGAAAGCAACACAGCACTTTTTTGCCTGGAATTTTAATTTGCAAATCCAATATCTCTCTCCAAATAAATGCAATGTAATATAACTTGTACCAGTATGTAACGTGCCAGTTAGGTGACCCCCGAAAGATCAAGATCCATAAATGGTGCTTGAGGACCAACAGGATTTCTTTGTGGTTTTATGCTTGACACTATTAGCATTTTTCATGGATTGAAAATGCTTCATTAGATATTAAATCTTTCTAACAATATTACCTAATATTTACTGGTAAATCATCATGTTTCCCAAGTGAGAAAAAAAGAGGGGCATGATTAGAAAGAAGGCATTATTAAATGTTCGGTTTTGGATTAAATCATATATATTATATGTATAATTAGTAATGTATACTTATATACATTATAATTATAATATGTAAATAAATCAATCAAAATACGTATATTTTCTTCATAGTCTTAATTTTTTTCTAAACAATAAGCCAAACCTTATGTATGCCAGGCACAAAGCATAATTTGGAAATTTCACCAGTCAGTGCTTTTCCATGCCATTATTGGGAGCATTATGCTATTAGCTATAAAAAATAATGACTGAAATCCAAGAAGGGTTATGCTATGAGAGTAGGCTCAAAGTGTCTGATGGGAAAGAAAACGACATGTAAAACCCTATGTAAATAAAGTAATCCTTTAATACTCTATGTAGATATTCATTTGAGACAACTAACTTTATACAAAGATCTATTTTTCCAAATGCTGTCTGCTTGAATGGCTTTTGATGCTCCCACAAGGGACCAATAGATAAACCTTTCTTGCAAGTGGGCTACTGCTTCTGCTCTACCAGGAGTCTGCATAGATGAACCGTTATTACTGATAAGAATTAAATCAAAAAGCGCTGCCAACTAGCAAGGTTCTACTTTGATCATGTGCTGAGTACATATGAAGCCATTCAAATAGTCGTTAGTCTTGATAAAGGATGTCATGCCTGCTTTCCTTCACCCCAATCCGATTTTTCTTAGGTTCAAAACATAGGCATAGGTGACTATTTGTAAGATTGTTTTAATATAGCAAGCTATAGGGCTGCAAATCATTATTTTTGTGGTGACCTGAATCTCTTTACATTATTGTCCTTGAGACATTTATTTTTAGTATCTTCTATGTCCTTAAATAAGGTGCAATATCTCCAGTTAGTAATCTAAAATATTGTCATTGTTGACTTTTTGTAATGAAAATAACTAAAATTCCTCCAAATAATCTCTTTTACATGTTTACAGAATGATATGAAAAATAAACACTTAAATAGCTATCTTATTAACATTTAAAGAAAATTAATACTTCTTACTTGACTCAGAATTCAACAAATTCATTACTCCTGAAAAATATGGAGAATATAGTAGTTGTCAAAGTCCTTTTTTAAAATGTGAAATCGATGGCAATGACAGTAATTCCTTTTATTTGCTCAGTTTCTATCCAAATGCTAATTTAAGGAATGTGGATAACTTTGACTTATAAGAGCACTGAACACTGACCAGCAAACCAGTGGAATGTATTTGTTACTTTTACGAGTTTTCTTCTTTTTTTTCACTTTTTTTTTTTTTTTGAGACAGCGTCTTGCTCTGTTGCCCACGCTGGAGTGCAGTGGCATGATCCTGGTTCACTGCAACCTCCACCTCCTAGGCTCCAGCAATCTTTCCACCTCAGCCTCCTGAGTAGCTGGGACTACAGGTGCGTGCCACCATGTCCAGCTAATTTTTCTATTCTGTTGTAGAGACTGGGTTTCTCCATATTGCCCAGGCTGGTCTTGAACTCATGGAATCAAGCAATCCACCTGCCTTGGTCTCCCAAAGTGTTGGGATTACAGGTGTTAACCACCATGCCCAGCTGACTTATATGAGTTTTCTGATGTAAAAAATCGCTGAGTTTGTAATCTGTTTTCTCATCCAAATCTTCCCTAACCATGCTGAACAAAATAGAGAATAGAGCTCTGTGGCACAATACAGAGACTTTATTTGTAGTTGATATTGAATCATTAATTAGTATTCACCCAATATTCCAAATAGTATTCTTCATTTTATCTATAAAAATATGCCTAGAAATGTGGATTTGTGCTAATTCACCTGATCTATGAAAATTCAGATAATCTTTGCCGTCAAAGTACAGTTTTTATGACTTGATAGCTTCCCGTTTGTCTTTTAGAGCTTTTATGTGCATGTAAAGAATATGCACATATGTGTATATCTGTATTCCTTCCTTTTTACACAAATAATAGCACATTATGTAAATAGTAGCATGCTATGAAACTGCTTTGCATGTTTCCTTTTCCACATAATATTTCTTGGACATTACCCTGCAAAATCTAGATCTGCCACATTTTTAAATGGCTTCACTACACCGCCATTGCACAGATGTCTCGTAACTTATTTTGTCAGTTTTCTATTGATAGACATTTATGTTGTTTCCAGTCGTTTTGTAATGCAAGTGATCTTTAGTAACTATCCTTGTGCATGCTTTTTGGTGCACATTTATAAGACTTATGGAAGAAAACGCTAAAAGAAGAATTGTTGAGTGAAATAGTACTTTAAAATCTGAGAGGTCTTGTGAAAATGCATTCAAATAAAAAATTTATGAAAGTGCCTAATTTTCTATACCTTACCTTTTCTGCATTTGTGGGCCTCTAATTGTCTTGTTTCTTATACTGATGTTCTGGGTGCAAAACTCTGAAGTGAGAGTTTTTTACCCTGCTAGGCTTTGTGAGGGCAGACCTGTCCTGCAGTACAGCCTGTTTCCCTGCATTCACTTCCCCTTCTTTCTGGGGGGTGGGTAGCTCCGTCCTGCTGGCTTTTTGGCTTTCTCGGTGTCAGCCAGTGCTTCCACCTAGATCTATGCTGACAACTCCAGCGCCGACGTTGCTGTTCTGCCCTGTTCAGGCAGCTTGCTGAGGTTTTTCAGCCCAGCAAAGATCTCCTGTTCTGTAGGTTGTAGAGGGCTTGGGTGGAGCACTGTATCCGAACTGAAGTCCCAGAGGGGGAGATCCCCTGGTCCTCTGGTCAGTTGCACTTACCTCCTGGGTGGGGCAGTACCCCACCATGCCTCAACTTGCCCTATTTGGTTTATACCCACTGTCTAACCAGACCCACTAAGTAAACCTGGTACCTCATTTGGAATTGTGGAGACCACTCAGCTTCTGTGTCTCTGTCGCTGGGAGCTGCGTTCCTAAGCTGCCTCTAATTCGGCCATCTTGGGCCCTCCCTTGATGGGTTTTCTTTATAGGTTACCTGATGCTTTTGCTTCACAGCTCTTAAAATTCCTTCATTTTAACTTTAGATAAACTGATGACTATGTGCCTAAGCGATGATCTTTTTGTGATAAATTTCTCAGGTGTTCTTGAGCTTCTTGTATTTGGATGTCTGGGTCTCTGACAAGGCTGAGGAAACTTTCCTCGATTATTCTCTTTAATATGTTTAACACTTTTAGATTTTTCTTCTTCATCAGGAACACCAATTATTCTTAGGCTTGGATGTCTAACATAGTCCCAAACTTTTTGGAGGCTTTGTTTATTTAAAACATTTTTTTCGTTGTCTTTGATGCATTGAGTTAACTTGAAAGCCTTGTTTTCTTTTTTTTGCTGTTCAACTCTGTTGCTCAGGCTTTTCAGTTCATTTTGCATTTCTCTAAGTGTATCCTTGATTTCCAGAATTTGTGATTGTTTTTTACTTATGTGATCTATTTCCCTGAAGTATTTTTTCTTTCATATCTTGTATTATGTTTTTCATTTCTTTAAGTTGGACTTCACCTTTCTCTGGTGCCTCCTTGATTAGCTTAGTAATCAACCTTCTGAATTCTTTTTCTGGCAATTCAGCTATTTCATCTTGATTTGCATCCATTGCTGGTGAGCTGGTATAATCCTTTGGGGTGTTAAAAAACCTTGTTTTGTCATATTACCAGAATTGTTTTTCTGGTTCCTTCTCATTTGAGAAGACTATGTCACAGGGAAGATCTGGGATTCAAGTGCTGCTATTCAGATTCTTTTGTTTCACGGGGTGCTCCATTGATATTGTGTTCTTTCTGTAGAAATGGGGCTTCCTGAGAGCTCGTCCGTAGTGACTGTTTTTGATCTTCTGGATCTGGCCACTCAGCAGAATTACGAGGATTTGGGCTGGTACTGGAGAGTATCTGCAGAAGGTCCTGTGATGCGATCTGTCTTCAGGCCCCTCAGCTGTGCATACCAGCACCTGCTCCAGTGGAGGTAACAGGGGAGTGAGGTGGACTCTGTAAGGGACCTTGGTTGTGTTTTGTTTAGTGTGCTGGTTTTGTATCGGTTGACCTCCAGCCAGGAGATGGCACTTTCAAGAGTGCATTAGCTGTGGTCCTATAGGGAGGATGTAAACTTGCCATAGGGACGCTGCTTAAGTATTCAGATTTCTCAGGTGGTGGCCAGGGTCATGGAGTTCCCAAGAGATTATGAACCTTTGTCTTTGGCTACCAGGGCAGGTAGAGAAAGACCACCAGGTGGGGCCAGGGATAGGTATGTCTGAGCTCAGCTTCTTCTTGCACAGCATTTCCTATGGCTGCTGTAGGGGATGGGGGTGTAATTCCCAGTCCAATGGAGTTATATTCCCAGGGGGATTATGGTTGCCTCTGCTAAGTCATACAGGTTGCCAGGGAATGGGGGAAAACTGGCAGTCACAGGCCTCACTCTGCTCTCACACAGTCCCCACAGTCCTAAAGGCCAGTCTTACTGCCACTGTGCCCCTCCAACAGCACCAAGTCTATTTCCAGGCAGCCAGTGATCAGGGCTGAGAACTTGTCCCAGGCCACAACCTTCCCTGTGGAGAAAGCAAACACACTCGCAGTTTCTGCTATCTCATGGAGCTTGCAATGGTGATTCAGTTCTTTCAAAGGGTCTGCGGATTTTGTGGGCTTTCCTGGTATATTTCTGTGATAGTTGTTGGAGCAAAAATTCAGTATGAGTGTCCACACACTGTTCTGTGCATCCGAGCAGGAGCTGCGAGCTAGTCCTTCCTTCTGTCTGCCATCTGAATCTCGATCATGTGAATTTTGTCTTTAGTTCTCTTTATGTGATGAATCATATTTATTGATTTGCATATGTGGAACCAGCCTTGCATCCCAGAGATAAAGTCTACTTGACCTTGGTGGATAAGCTTTTTGATGTGATGCTGGATTTGGTTTGCCAGAATTGTGTTGAGGATTTTTGCATCAATGCTCATCAAGGATATTGGCCTGAAGTTTTCTTTTTTTGTTTTGTCTCTGCCCTGTCTCTGCCATGTTTTGGTATAAGAGTGATGCTGACCTCACAGAATAATGTGGGGAAGAGCCCATCCTTCTCAATTTTTTGGAATAGTTTCTGTAGGAATGGTACCAGCTCTTCTTTGTACATCTGGTATAATTCAGCTGTGAATCTCTCTGGTCCTTTTTTTCTTTTTTTTTTGGTTGATAAGCTATTTATTACTGGTTGAATTTCAGAGCTTGTTGTTGGTCTGTTCAGTGATTCAATTTCTTCCTGGTTCAGTCCTGGGAGGGTGTATGTGTCCAGGAATTTATCCATTTCTTCTTGATGTGCACAGAGGTGTTCATAACAATCTCTGATGGTTATTTTTATTTCTGTCGGCTCAGTGTTAATATCTTCTTTGTTGTTTATAATTGGTTATTTGAAGTGTCTCTCTTTTCTTCTTTATTATTATAGCTACTGGCCTATTTTATTTATTTATTGTTTTCAGAAAACAAACTCCTGGATTCGTTACTACTTTGAGTGGCTTTGCATGTTTCAGTCTCCTGATTTTGGTTATTTCTTGTCTTCTGCTTCTTTCAGACTTGATTTCCTCTTGGTTATCTAGTTCTTTTTGTTGGGATGTTAGGTTGTTACACTGAGATCTTTTTGACTTTTCGATGTAGGTGTTTGATGCTATAAATTTGCCTCTTAACATTGCCTTTACTGTGTCCAAGACATTCTGGTATGTTGTATCTTTGTTTTCATTAGTTTCAAATAATTTTTTGGTTTCTGCTTTAATTATTATTTAAATGTTTTATTTAATTATTTACCCAAAAGTCGTTCAAGAGCAGGTTATTTAATTTTAATAAAATTGTATGATTTTGAGCGATCTTTTTGGTCTGGATTTTCAATTTCATGGCCCTATGGTCCAAGAGAGTATTTGACAGGATTTCAGTTCTTTTGTATTTGCTGAGGATTGTTTTATGTCTGATTATTTGGTAGATTTTACAATATGTGCCACGTGGTGGATGACATTCTGTTGATTTTTGGTGGAGAGTTATGTAGGTGTTTATCAGGTCCATTTGATCCAGTGCTGCATTCAGAATCTGAATATCTCTGTTAATTTTCTGCCTTGATGGTCTTTCTAATACTGTCAGTGGGGAGTTAAAGTCCCCCACTATTATTGTGTGGAAGTCTGTCTCATTGAAACGCTCTGAGTACTTACTTTATGAATCTAGGTGATCTTGTGTTTGGTGCATATATATTTAGGATAGTAAGGTGTATGCTCTTTTTTTTTGTCTTTTTTTTTATCTTTGTTGGTTTAAAGTCTATTTTGCGTGAAATGAGGACTGCAACCCCTTCTTTTTTGTTTTTCATTTACTTGGTAGATTTTTCTCTGTCACCTTAGTTTGAGCCTATGGGTGTCCTCTCATGTGAGATGGGTCTCTTGAAGACAATACACCATTTGTTCTTGGTTCTTTATTCAGCTTTCCACTCTGTGTCTGTTAATTAGGGCATTTGGCCCATTTACATTCAAGATTAATATTGATATGTGTGGATTTGATCCTGACATCATGATGTTAGCTGGTTATTAAGCAAACTTTGTGTGGTTGCTTTATAGTTTTAGTGGTCTGTGTCCTGAAGTATGTTTTCGTATTGGCTGGTAATGGTGTTTCCTTTCTATAGTTGGTGCTTCTTTCAGGAGGTCTTGGAAGGCAGATCTGGTGATAATAAATTTCCTTAGGATTTGCTTGTATGAAAAGAATCTTATTTTTGCTTCACTTATGAAATTTAGTTTGACCAGATATGAAATTCTTGGTTGGAATTTCTTTTCTTTAAGAATGTTGTGTATAAGCCCCCAATCTCTTCTGGCCTGTAGGGTTTCTTCTGAAAGGCCTGCTGTTAGTCTGATGTACTTCCTTTTGTAGGTAATGTGATCTGTCTCTCTGGCTGCCTTTAACATTTTTTTTTCTTTAATTTCAATACTGAGAACCCCTCAAAATTCTACATGAAAAGATCATCCCCAAATGTGGATAATAGCACTGAAATACATACTACACTTCTATACAAGAAGGTCATCCCTAAGTGGGGATGGCAGAGCTGAAAAGCACAAGTGAGGATGATCTCCTTGTATAGAATATTGGAAGGGCTCTCTGTATTTCCTGCATTTGACTGTTGGCTTCTTTAGCATGTTTGGGGAAGTTTTAATGGACAATATCCTAAAATATGCTTTCCAAGTTGTTTTCTTTCTTTCTGTTCCTTTCAGGAATGCCAATGATTCATATATTTGGCTTTTTTCCTTTTTTTTCTTTTTTTTTTCCATCTCCAAATGGTTCTTTATTGAACACCCACTTTGGCTAGGCAACATCGTCCCTCTGCCTGTAACGTAGGCTCAGGTAACCCCACAGAGTATCCTCAGAAGGTACCTCCCAAGACCAGGAGTAATGAGAGACTAGCCAGAGGGTAAGGGACAGCAGGGAGAGGGAGGAAAGTGAAGCTACCAGGAAAAGAGGAGAGGCCTGAACTAGACAGCTGATGCTTTTTCCTGCCCAGCACCCATTCATCACTTCTTCAGGTAATATCCGCCACCACAACCACCAGCAGCAACTCTCAGTCTCTGTGGGTACATGCCAGGCCTGTCCTCTTGGCGTATTCCATCTTCCTGGCCACAATGATGACTTAAGGCTGGATACCTTCCTCGTCTGGGCCAATGAGAAACAAATCCAGCAGTTCTGTCAGCAAAGAGGAGCTCTTTTTATCAATAACTGGTGCTGTGGGACCACATCGTGAAGCCCGAGAATAAAGCCATCTCAAATGAAAGCAGAGCTGAGAGCCGAAGAGACAGATCCCTGTTTGGAGTCCTGGGATGCAGCCTGAAGCCCAATCTAGCCCATGCTTTTCAGCTACATGAGCCGTTAAATTCCCTCTGCCCCAAGTAAACTGGAAAGAGTCCCAATCAAGGTCCTTCCCCTCTGGTTGTTCTTCTGCAAGTATTCTGAGGACAAGATTTTCTTCTGAAGGGTTACAAAAGTAATTGTGTGGTGACAGACTGTGCCTAGGTCCCTGGGGTGAGAACCACCATGGAGACAGACTCCAGCTGGCCTTTCCTAGGATACACACTCACAACTGTCAACACATCTTTGAATACATCAGCACATAATTATAAACTCCTATTGTTTGTAGTAGCTATTGTTTTTGTCTTCCCAGCACCTTATTTTGGATGGAGAAAAGGTCATGACCCAGACTGGATTAATCATGTGGCCAAACACGCATGGCCACAGAGACTGATCCAAGAGGACGTAGGACTAACAAATCACTGAGAACTTTGTGAGTTTCCAAATTAGAACTGGAAGGGAAGAAACCTTTCATTCAAGGCCCCCAAGATGGAAGGCTGCAGGTCTGGAGCTGTCAGCTGTCATGGCCCCAAATACACAGAGAAGGCTCATGTGCAGCAGAAGGAAAGGAAGCCAACACAGAGGCCTGGCAGTGTCTGCTTATTGTCTCCCAATGGCCATTCTTCCCCCACACCCTAACTAGCACAGTCTCCTTCCAGAGTTTTGGCTGCCCAAGTAGAAACTAAATTTACAGCCTACCTTGTTGCTAACTGTGGACACATGGCAAGACAGTAGGAACCTGGGTGCCTGATGATATCATGGACCAGCCACTTGCCTGGCCTGGACCAGCTGATTATCTCTGCACTGTTAGGGGAGAGAGAAATAAACTTCCATCTTCTCTGAGTTATGTATTTATAAAAAAAAATGACAAACTAGAGAGTTATTTTAAAAAATGGCAAACTAGAAAGTTCTAGATGGAACTAGTGGAAATGATTATATACAGCTGTTTTGTTTCACAAACTCCACAACTGGATATTAAGTCAGGATAGCGCCTGCTAGATTCTAACCTACAAAGCTGGACTGTTCTGCCCTACTCACTTACAGATCAGGGTATTAACCAAAGCCAACCTTCTCAGCCCCTTACCTCTAAATCTTCTTTCTAAGCTATGACGTCAGAGCAGTACCAGGAAGGGTGTGCTACTGGCCAGAGGAGATGGTGAGAACAACCCTAGCAACTTCATTTACTCCTGGGGCTCTGTGCCCACAAACTGATTTTAAGAGCCCTTCATGTATATATGCAAACGGGCTCTAAGTACAGGCATTTTGGTGTAAATTATGGAGTTTTGACAAATACAGGGTAGGCTGAATGGTTCTAGGCCAGGGAGCAAGAGTTCGCAAAGGCAGTGTCTTCAGTGAAATAAGTACCTTGAGGCAAGAAGTAACCACCTGACTAATGCATCCACATGAGAGACTTATATCTAACACTTGGCAAAAGTACAGTCTAGGATGCTGAGGTCCCCACTTTTAGTGAAAGCCAAAGGCCCTAGGTCAAAATGCTAAAAAGTCTTTTACTAACTACCCTAGGACAGCTAAGTTCATTTTGGGAAGAAGAGAGAGAAACACTAATCACCCCTCCCTTCAAGTTTTAATAGCCAACAGGAATCTGGGCTCTGAAAAGTCACAAACACCTTTTCCCAGGATTATGAGCAATTGCAACAACTGGCCAATTGTGTTAGCAGAAGAAAAGCTGGACATTACCTGTGTGAGAGGCGCTCAGCATGGGCAGCGTATGGCTGTGAGCAGCACATCAGCTATATAACCTCCACACCGAAAGGGTGCTGCTGCTCTGCAGGTCTGTTTCAGGCAGGATCCAGCCATCCACAGGACCAAGGGGCTGGAGTGTTGGGAACAGATGATTATGTGTTCCACAGATAATGGTACAAAGTGACTGTTCATAGATAAGGTGTAAGCATAGCATTTGAAGATAACTCCTCCAGATGGTCTATTAATAAATTCTTAAGAGCTTAGAGCCTTGAGGATTGAGAAATTCTCAAGGAATTTTTTAAAAGAAGGAGGGGTAGATGTTGAAGACATAAAAGCTCTTTGTAGGTGTTGACTGGCTCGCTTTGTCCCCAAATTCATTTTAGAACTCAAGCAAATTCAAGATATGAGGCAGAGATGCTAGACTTGTGTCAGGGGCAAAAACTTCTGGTAGTAGCTCTTGGTGACATTAATCATCAGCTCCTGAGTGCACTCTGGGAGCTCCCCTGAGAAGAGTCCTGGGCAACCTGAGAAGACAGTGAATGGTGGGACCACAGTTTCTGGAGGTAATACTGTGTTATCAAGAATTTTGCAGCAGTCTTTCAACACACATCGGTGTCCAATCGCACAGTTCTTGCCAACATGAACGTAGGAACCAATCTGAGCTGCATTGACCACACAATCTTCCTCAATAAAGACACGGTTCCCAATATGTAAAGGAAAGAATGCAACACCTTTGCTGAATTTCTTGAATGGTGGCCTTATGACACTACGACTTTTCACAACACAATGGCGCCCAACTCTTAACGTTTGCCAGATCCCCTCAGATAATAAAGTCATTCATCACAATGGTTTTGCCATTGAGAACGATGTTCTGGCTTCCACACAACACCGACTGGCGACTGACTTTGTTCCCAGATGCCGTCTTGATGTACTCGGACTTGTTGTAAAGCAGCTCGCCCAACTCCATGGCCACCGCCTCCTTCCCTCAGACCCGGCTCCCATCAGAGTCAGTCGGTCAGTCTTTCTGAGATTCCGGCTACTTCATATTTGCTTTCTTTACATAAACTCATATTTCTTGGAGGTTTTGTTCATTTTTTTTTCATGTTTTTGTCTTTATCTTATTTGAAATAAGACTGGCTGTCTTATTTCAGAGAGCCAGTCTTCATGTTCTGAGATTCTTTCCTCAGCCTCATATATTCTGCTGTTAATACTTGTGACAGCATTGTGAAATTCCCATAGTGTGTTTTTCAGCTGTATCAGGTCATTTAGATTCTTTCTTATACTGCCTATTTTGTCTGTCAGCTCCTGTATCCTTTTTGGTTTTTTTTTTGAGACGGAGTTTCACTCTTGTCGCCCAGGCTGGAGTGTAATGGCACCATCTTGGCTCACGGCAACCTCCTCCTCCCGGGTTCAAGCAATTCACCTGCCTTAGCCCCCCAAGTAGCTGGGACTACAGGCGTGTGCCACCATGCCCAGCTGATTTTTGTATTTTTAGTAAAGACGGGGTTTCACCATGTTGACCAGGATGGTCCCAATCTCTTGACCTCGTGATCCACCTGCCTCAGCCTCCCAAAGTGCTGGGATTACAGGTGTGAGCCACCGCGCCCGGCCGCTCCTATATTCTTTTATTGTGCTTCTTAGTTTTTTTGGATTGCATTTTGCCAATCTCTTAAATCGCCATGGTCTTTGTTGGAGAACTAATGAGATTTGTTTGCAGAATATAAAACATGATGGCCATTTGAATTGCCTGAGTTCTTGCATTGGTTCTTTCTCATCTCTGTCTGTGGGTATTCCTTTAACTGTGGCATAGATTTCTTTAACTGTAGGTGTAAATGTGGATGTTTTCACAGGGCTGAGGCTTTGTGCAGGGTCTTTTGTATTTGTAGCTGACTTCTCGTCTTTTGTTTCAGAGGTGTGTATTTTAGGGAGGTATTTTGATGTTGCTGAAGCCTTGGGATATAATTCAATAGGTGGTGCTTAAGTGTAAGGGTCTGTTGCTAGGCTCTTACTCAGTCATGTGGCTCTCCTATATTTCCTCATATTTGCAGCTGTGCTTCCTCTCAATGCTCTGAAAGTGTGGGTTCCTCTCTCACTTGAGTGCTGGCTGTAGATCATGGCTTGGCACTCTTAGGATGCTCACTGCAGCTCTGTGGTCATCTCAGGGTTTATGTTCTCTCACCAACTTGGAGGCAGCAGTGGAAGGAACCTTAAGAGTGGTTGTGGCCGGGCGGGGTGGCTCACGCCTGTAATCCCAGCACTTTGGGAGGCCGAGGCGGGTGGATCACGAGGTCAAGAGATCGAGACCATCCTGGTCAACACGGTGAAACCCCGTCTCTACTAAAAATACAAAAAATTAGCTGGGCATGGTGGTGCATGCCTGTAATCCCAGCTACTCGGGAGGCTGAGGCAGGAGAATTGCCTGAACCCGGGAGGCGGAGGTTGCGGTGAGCCGAGATCGCGCCATTGCACTCCAGCCTGGGTAACAAGAGCGAAACTCCGTCTCAAAAAAAAAAAAAAAGAAAAAAAGAGTGGTTGTGGCCAAGGGTCTTTTACTTGTCTCCTGGGGAATCCACCCCAGAGAGATACAGGTCAACAATCACTTAGTGCAATCAGCCTAACATGAAAGGCCTGTGCTGTGGGTCCAAGTTGGGGGTTCCCTGCATGGCCATGAGCAGAAGAGATGGGTGGGACCTGTGGAAGACAGACTGGCTTCCTGTCCTTGGGTTGACTGCAGTTTATTGGAGATGTGGATAAGGCACTTAGAGTCTTCGCTCCGTCGTTAGTCCGAGGGTCGTGGGGATAGTACCACCACAGAGGCAGCGGCAGAGGAGCTTTCGGTGGTCCTTGGCGGTTCTATCTACGCGAAGCACAGAGTTGTCGTTACTCCAGTCAGTGGGATGGAGCAGCTGCACTGCTTGTTTGTGCTTGGGCCTCTGCCTGTTGGGGAGCAGGGGTTGAGGGCTTGAAGCAGTGAGAGGTCTCCTCTCCGTATGGTGACTGTGGTGTACTGCAGGCTTGCATGTGGCCCTCAGGCTCTTTGTTTCTTCCCCACACTGAGGGAAGCAGAGACACAACTGCTGATGTGATGGTGGCAGACGGGCTGTCAGGTACCTCTGGGAGCCTTTCCCCGGGAAAACTCCAGTCCACGATCAGTGGGTATGCTTGTCCATGAGTGGGGCCACGGTTCTGCAGTCATGAGCCAGGGGCTCCGCTTGGTGATGAGTGGGGGTTGGGCATTCCCAAGGAACAGGGGCTAGACTCATCTTTATATGGTGGTTGCTGTGTGCCAGAGGTGTCAGCATAGTGACTAGGTCCTTTGTTACTTCCCCAGCCTGAGGGTTGTTAGGCGGTACCCCTCCAAGTGCAGTGGCAGATGCGTTGTGGGTTTACTCTGGGATTTCCTCCTTGGGGAAATACTGGGCTGCCGCTGATTGAAGTAGTCAGGTGGGGACAGGGAGGTTGTGCTGGAGTCCCAGGTTGGCCAGCTCTGTCCAGTGAGGAAAAGCGAGGACTGGGACCTGCTTGGAGAACAGCCCAGCCACTTCTCCGTGAGGCTGGTGCTTGGTGCTGGGAGTCCAGACCAGCCCCTGGTCCCTGCAGACACTCCGTAGCCTGGGGACAGCAAGGGCAAGGGCTGCCGGGCAGCAAATATGGCAACCCGCTCCTTTCTCTGGGACTCTGACCCAGGGACTCATAGAATTGCTGCTGGCTCAGACATGGTGGAAGATTGCTGGAGACCCAGGTCAGGAGGAACCGCCCAGTAAGAAGATACAGGATTGGAGACCCATGTAACAAGCAGTCTGGCCACTTTTCCATAGGGCTGCTGCAGTATGCTGGAGGTCCCCTCCAGACCCTAATCACCTCGGAATTTCCCTTATCCGTTGCCGGCCCAAACATATCAGCAGGAGGTGCTGGTTGGGAGGTTCATCCCAGTGAGGAGGAATGGGATTAGGGGCCTGTGTAAAGAAGCAGTCTGGCTGTTTTTTGGTAGAGCAGTTATGCTGTGCTGTGCTGGGGGCCAGTCCAGCCCCCAGTTGCCTCAGAATCTCCAAAGCCTGAAGGCAACCATGACAAAGGCTGTGAAATAGCGAAGTCGGTGGCCCACCCCTCCCTCAGGGAGTTCCATCCCTGGGAGGCCTAGAGCTGCTGCTAGCGGGGAAATACCAGTGGGGAAGGCTGAAGATCCCGGTGGGAAGATCTATCCCAGTAAGGAGAAACCGGATCCAGGACCTACATAAAAAAGCAGTCTTGGCCAGGCGCGGTGGCTCACACCTATAATCCCAGCACTTTGGGAGGCCGAGGCAGGTGGATCACGAGGTCAAGAGATGGAGACCATCCTGGTCAACATGGTGAAACCCCGTCTCTACTAAAAATACAAAAATTAGCTGGGCATGGTGGCACACGCCTGTATTTCCAGCTACTCGGGAGGCTGAGGCAGGAGAACTGCTTGAACCCAGGAGGTGGAGGTTGCGGTGAGCCGAGATCACGCCATTGCACTCCAGCCTGGGTAACAAGAGCGAAACTCCATCTCAAAAAAAAAAAAAAGCAATCTTGTCGCTTTCCTGGAGTATCTGCACTGTGTCGGCTGCAGCCCTTAGCTGCCTCGGACTCTCTAAGGTCTGAAGCCAGCAACGCCTAAGGCTGCAAAATAGTAAAGATGGTGGCCGACTCCTCGCTCTGGGAGTGATGTCTCAGGGATGTGGCTGGCTGTGGTTCCAAGCCAGTAGGTTTTATCCTGAAAGATGCCATAGGAGCAGGGTCTGCAGATAGTCACTGCTCAGTCCCTGGGATTCAGCCCTTTCCCTGGGTTATGTATGGGGATCTAATCTCTTGCTTTGCCAGAGTTGCAGCTGCTTTGCTGGTGAGCCTGGCTATCTAAGACTCTTGGGCTCTATGTGTGCTTGAGCAGCGGTTCTGCCAAGACTCCAAGTAGCTCTCTGTGTCAGACTGCAGGCCCTGGTGGAGTGGGTATGTGAGGGGATCTCCTGACCTGAGGGTTGCAAATATCCATGGGGGAAGTGTGGGTTACTCAGAGTCCCTTACCCTCTCAGCACTTCCCTGGGCAGGGGAGGCCCCACTGACTCCATGTTACTACCAGGTGGGTGGTCATCCTGCCTTGCTTTTCTTTGTTTCCTTGATGAATTCCAATGCATGTACCTGGATGATTCAGTTGAAGGTGCAGCATTTACTTAGCCCTTCTCTTTCTCTCCGACTGCAGCACACATTAGTTGCTCCTAGTCGACAATCTTGGCCAGCCTCCAACATACATTTCTTAAGCAGAAAACAAAAGGCACTAATCACAAAAGAAAAACATTAATAAATTAGACCATCAAAGTTAAGATGTCTGTTCTTCAAAAACTCTAAATGCTGACATTTAGAGATCTGCTTGCTTTACTGCCCAATCAGCTGATATTGAAGCTTGAGAGTCTAAAAGCCTTAAGACCCTTAACAGATGAATACAGAACAGATGAACACGAACAGATAAACATGGAACGGATAAGAGATGTCACCAAGCGTTTGTCGAAGGCTAAAATGACTGTGTAGGAGTAGTCCAATGAGAAGCGACCTATGTGCATCTTTCTCTCACATGAGCTAAGTCAGCTGGCCACACCTCTATCCACTTTCTATCTTCCCTTATTTTTCTAAAGATAGCAATTCTAATTTTTGTGAGTTTTTTTTTTTCTGTTCATAGCCTTGCGTTTGGTTTCTCCTGTTTCCTTTTCTTTGTTTTGGTCTCTGTCACAATAAAGGCTTTAAAAAATCCCTTGTTATTTTAAGGGGGTTTCAGGAGAGAGAGTGGATAAATGTCTGTGTGTATCCACCATGCTCAGCCTACAGTCTTCAGGTGATTTGGAGGTAGACTAAACCTTGAGAACACCAGGCTATATCCAACAATGTGATATTAACCAACAAGGGAGAATATGAGACTGATTCTTTTTTCTGTCATATTTAAATTTACAGGATCTATGTCTTCTGCTCTGATAGTTATAATACTTTATTGCATATAGATTGGTTTGTTTGATT